AGATGACGCATACATCTCAATTTAAAAAAAAATGACCCTTATGACTGGTTTTGTGCTCCAGGGTCACATATATGTGTCATTTCAAGGAACACGGATTCGTTTCAGGTGTTCGTTTGACTTCTGACCCTGTAAACAGCGGGAATCTGCGCGGTTATCCCGGCGCGTCACGGCGCATTTGGCTGATTTCTGGTGCGCGGCGGCGGCGGAGCTGACGCGCCCTTCAGACTCCATCCATCAGCGGCCGCATCATGCGCGAGGATTAACGTGCGCACCGGGACGCGACGATAGACGCACGCCTGCAACAAGTCACCACGGACCCGAGTGAAGCCCTTCAGCACGCGCTCACCTGAGAGGAGCTCAGCATCTTCAGACCAACGGAGCGCTCGCGCGCTGAGGCCTGCAAAGATCTCTTCAAAGCAAACCTGAGATACGGCGTGCAAATGAACAGATATTAGAATATGATGGATATTAAACAAATACCAATAAAATAAAGCAAAGAAGAAAACGAATTAATGAAAAGTCAAGTCGCCGTTAATTTGGCATTTTAGATTGTGTAGTGAAATAAAAAAGACAATGTATTATATTAAGCTTAATTTGATTAATGAATATTTATATGCATAATGAACAATGATATGTTTATTATAATGTGTTGATTTATTAATATGAGATATTAATTATAATTTTATAATATGCACCAATGACACGCGGCAGTTCAGTATATATATATATAATGGATCCATTTTAAATGCATGACTATACATTCTTTTTGGAGACAAAATGTATTTAATTAAACAGTAATTTAATTAAGGTAATAAAATTTCCTTAATTGTCAATAAACAAACAAAAAGAGGTAACACTTTACAATAAGTTTCATTAGTCAAAATTAAGCATGAACAATACTTCAGCAATTATTCATCTTAGTTGATGTTAATTTATTAATGCTTTATTAAAATCAAAAGTTAAGGCACTGACAAAGTTTAATAAATGCTGTAATAAATGTATTGTTCGTTGTTCGTTCGTGTTAGTTAATACATAAACTAATGGAACCTTATTGTAAAGAAAACAGGGTTACACTTTATTTTAAGGTGTCCTTGTTACAGTGTAATTATACATTTAAGTACTGAGTAATGTTAATTAACGAGAGCCCGGTCTCATGAAAATGCGTATAAAATAGTACGCCAAATACAAACAGAAAATCGTGCTATTGATATACGCAGAAATTGACTTTGACGTGCATATAATACGCAGTTTTCGCGTGCATATGATACGCATCTCCCCCACAACCCTCATCCTCCCCATTGCGTATCATATGCACGCCAAAGTCAATTTCTGCGTATAAAAAATTTTTTTTTGATACGCACTTTCATGAGATCGGGTTGTTTGTACTGAATAGCATATGTTTGGTGACGTTTAGACCCGTAATTCGCATGGAAACCATAAAGACGCGTGGTTGTATTTTTTTTTTGATACGCACTTTCATGAGATCGGGTTGTTTGTACTGAATAGCATATGCTTGGTGACGTTTAGACCCGTAATTCGCATGGAAACCATAAAGACGCGTGGTTGTCTCTGGTGCCACCCGCTTTCAGAGGGTCACTGGAGCCATGCGTCACGCAGACGCGTCGCGTCTCATCCGTTCCCGATCCGTCATCCTCTCTCTCTCTCATCAATCTCTCTCTCTCATTAGCTCAATCTGCATTCAGCAGTGATCGGTCACCGGGAGACGCGCGCCTCGCTTTAATGGCCCGACCATCGGATGCGATTACTGTCAGCCAAACCAAACCAACCCAAGCACAATTCAATTAGTCCCTCCGCTTTTCATTTCTTTATTTATTTCGTGCTCGGAAAATGCCTTTTTTTTGTGATGGCAAAGCAAAATATGAGTGTTCTAAAACTATGGATAAATTAATGGAGCCTCTCGGACAGTAAGTGCACTGGTTAGTGTAACTATCGATCACCAGCGCGCATGCCAGAATCTGCTCGCGCTTTAAAAAATGAAAAGCACTGAGCTGTCAATCACAGCTCTCCGCTGTCAATCACAGCATCTCTCTCAGACCCCCGCCTGTTATTTACACAAGCGCCATGAATGAGAAAGAGCCTCGTTACTGTTTCCGTTAATCGCCAATGAATTTTAAAGGTGCTGGTCTGGTCGGGTCGGGTCGGGATTAGAACCCATTTTCAAGACAAACACTCGGATTTGAAAGTCAGATGCGAGCGCGAGGCTTTGAAGAGATTAGCGGGTGTGCATGTGTGCAATGCGTAACACGCGGGTAATTTAATGTTGTTTCTATAGTAAGCACATGTAATGTGTGCATAAAATAAAGCGTTACCCAGTTTACATTTATTTTTGGTGTTAATAAGTCACCTTTGTTTCTACAGAGCTTTACACAGTACAGATTGTTTAAAAGCAGCTTTACATTAATACATAGGAAAATAACACAATCAGTGATGCAAACTTTATCAAATATGAGACAAATTCAGATTCTGCTGTAAAGCAGCTCTCAAAGACAATACCGTCGTTACTCAGATCAAATCAGTTCATGTTCACAAACACAGACACACTCATACACTCTCTCTCTCTCACACACACACACACACTCATACACTCTCTCTCTCTCACACACACACACACACTCATACACTCTCTCTCTCTCACACACACACACACACTCATACACTCTCTCTCTCTCACACACACACACACACTCATACACTCTCTCTCTCTCACACACACACACACACTCATACACTCTCTCTCTCTCACACACACACACACACTCATACACTCTCTCTCTCTCACACACACACACACACTCATACACTCTCTCTCTCTCACACACACACACACACTCATACACTCTCTCTCTCTCACACACACACACACACTCATACACTCTCTCTCTCTCACACACACACACACACTCATACACTCTCTCTCTCTCACACACACACACACACTCATACACTCTCTCTCTCTCACACACACACACACACTCATACACTCTCTCTCTCTCACACACACACACACACTCATACACTCTCTCTCTCTCACACACACACACACACTCATACACTCTCTCTCTCTCACACACACACACACACACTCTCTCTCACACACACAGACACACACACACACACACACACACTCACACTCACACACACATTCTTAAACACATTCCCGCCACATGTTTCTTGGTGTTCGACTACGACCCACAGAGATCACGACATTCCTCAACTAAACCCGTTACGCAGCACACAGTCAAAGAACAGCCGTCAGTCGAGAGACATTTGACTTTCTCAACTTTATTTAGCTTTTGTGTACAAGAATAAAAAACAACTTGGTTTGCAGTTAAACATGTAAATGGCTGAGTGAACCTGCAAGAAACACTGGTGTTTCACACTAAAGCACCTGAAGATCCTCATGTTTCAGGACTTCATCAATGCACTTTCTCTTCTAATCACTTCAATTATAACAAACCGTAGTTTTTTGTGGTTAAAATCAACACGCCAACCAATTTTGCTTCTTTAATTTTACATACATTTAAAGTATAACTGAATATTTAAGACAAAATGCAGAGCAGGGCTAGATTTATTTTCTCCATGAGGAAACTGATGTGAATGACATTGATCAATAACACCAGATGAACATAACCAGTTTCAGATTGTGATTCAGATTATGAAGACATTTTTCAGTAACATTTTACAATAAGGTCTCATTTGCTAACATTAGTTAATCTATTAACATGAATTAACAGTGAGCAATGCATACTTTAGATTTTTTTATCTTTGCTAATGTTAGTAAATAAAAAAACAAGGTCACACTTTTTTTTTTTTTTTTACGTTACATGTACTTACTATACTATAGTAATAACAATAAATTATGCATAATTACATGCAACTAGACCTAACCATAAGCATATTAATTAATATTACATTGTATTTAAATGCATAATTACACACAATAAAATAAAGTGTAACCAAATATATATATATATATAATATTTAGAATAATTTTTCATTGTTAGTTCTTGTAACCCATATAGTTAAGCAATGTTAACAATTCAAATGTTATTGTAAAGTGTTATTGTTTTTCTTTGCAATAAAGCTGATGAATCACTTACAATAAGCTACAATAAGATTTCATATTAACAATTTAATCCAAAACTTAGAAATATTTGTGTTTTAAAGTATATAATACACTTTGATGAACGCGTCCTGCTGGTGAACATTAGTGATCACATGACTTTCTCTTATACACTAACTTCCATAAACATACACATCTATATGTCTGCACATGCGACAAACGCTCTGGAAGCGTGATGGAGATCTGCATTATTACAAACATCATGCCGCTGTGATTTATGTGTGTTATTAATGTTACGAGTATGTCTGCATACGTCATTTTTATGTTTCTGTCAATAATCTGACGTGTGTGTGAGAGCGATGCATCACCAGACAAACACTGCACTGAAGCTCCTGTCTGTGAGTCTCAGTGATGTCGGGGGGTGTATGTCACGTCCTCGGGGTTCAGCGGCGGGCGGATGTCCAGTTTTCGGCCGGTGCTGTCTTCACCCACCACCTCCAGACGCAGAGCTGGAGCTAGCTATAATTTCTCTGTTATACCCATATACGATTATATTCCAAAATCATATAAGTTCATAAGTAAATGTTTCATTCTCTTAAAAGATGCTATACAATTTATATCAGGATCAGAGGGATGTGGGTTGCAGAGTAAAGTAATGCCACAACTTCCACATCAGTGTTCAGATCATCTTTTCTCCTCACAAAATCAATGTAATGGCAATATTTCCATCCTCCGAAAGTAAGCTTTTTCATAATTCATATGCCTGCTGCACTGGTGACTTCATGCGTCTGCGCAAGTTGAGAAAATTATGAAAATAAATCTAGGAATTATTGGATTGTTGGACTTTAAATCAGTAGGAATTGAGGCATCAAAAGTAACTAGCTGTTTTATGAATAGTAACTGTAATATTATTACT